AAGGGTGAAAAGTTCTGTTTCCTTTGGAGTTTCTGGTTATGTCATTTGCCTGGGAAATGGGTCCTCACCTAAAGAGAAGCCAAACCCTGTCACTCACATCTACCAACAGGTAGCAGTCAGAAACCAAACCTTCACCCTGCTATGATGAAGCCTGGTTGTGATGCCTCCCCCAGTGCAGAAAGGGAAGAACCAGGTTCCTAAGAAAAGACAAACTACCCCACCAACAGCAACCAAAGCACCTCCTTGTATGCTGCAACTTGGCTGTCAAACTTGCACTACCTCTTGCCTTCCCACTTGCACCTTGGGCCCTCAAGAATTACCTGTTGGGCAGCTGAACAGCTTCAAAAGGAAAAGCAAGAAGTAAGTAAAGATTATCTTGCCTGGGAAGGTTGCTGTCCTGGGAACGGAGATGGGCACAGACACTCACTTGCACTGCAAATTGGTCAACAGCTTCAAGACTAAGCATGCATCCCAATCTCACATACCAAGCTCTCCTCACACATTTCCTAGGAAGCCAAGATATGAAAAATATCCCAGGCTCTACTCCACTGGAAAGTATTGTCAAGAGTTCTGCAGTACATTTGCTCCACAAAGTTTTAATTTGCTCTAAACCTAAGTAGTTTTCAACCCTATTGAGATTCAGCAAGTTCAAGCTTCAATATCAATCTGGGAAGCACTTCACACTGTTAAACAAGCATCTCTTGTATTTTATAAAATAATTGTTTAGCTCTACTAAACAACACTAAGGTATTATCTGATTCTTACAGCCTTTCCAGAGCCCTGTAAAGACATCGAAGACCAGAATTTCATTATGTCTTTAATAAAAACACCGCTTCCAAAAACTTCTATTAATCAGGAAGTGGGGGTAGGGAACACAGCTGACACAAGTACTGAACAAAATCCTTGAGCATTAATTCAATTATGGATTTCATTCAATTGTCAAAACCTTTCAGATGAAAATGATGCTTTAGGAAGCAGTCTGAGTGATGATTTCTTTATTATTTCTTCACTAGCATTCAGTACAAAATATCAAACACAATTACAACAAAAAAAGTTGAAGAACATTTAGTCCTCATCTGATCTGAAACATGTGCACAAACACAATAGGCATTAATTTCATCACCCTGACAGCAACTGGGATAAGATGCTCAGGGTCAGAGAGAGATGAGAGCATTCATCATATTCAATTACCAGTCCTTTCAGCCTTTCAACCATTCTAATCACACACATATTTGCAGCCATCCTGGTTTTCACATTCTGTGGCAAGACTCAACTGTTTATAGCCTGTTTGAAATGGAAGAGACCAGACTTCCCTGACACAGTAAAGAGAAAAGTAGTAACACAACCACAGTTCATCAGCTATTTGATGATTCAGAAACCTGGGGCCAAACCAACTATTAGCACTCGCAGATGGAAGTCCTTCAAAGTGCATGAATTGTACCTGCTTCTACCAGGAACTGCTCTAACTCATCACTGATAAAATTAACATCCTTTGCTCTCTGAGACTCTCTTAACATAGAATCCTTTTCACTTTATACAATATTCCTCCTAGAAAACAGTACTGTAGGGCACCTGCATCTTACAGCAGGATAGGTGAGAAGTAACACAGGGCCAAAGCAGGGGCGTGCTCTCTGTGCCACTTTCCAATACCACTTCTACACATTTCATTACTCTGAGTATATAATCCAAGAGATTGGTGAGGAGAACTGTCACAATGCCACAGATTAATTAATTAAAAATATTTACAGCTGCTTAATAGAATTCATGGATGCCCGCTAAACTGCAACTGCACTGACAAATTTACACAGCATTATAGGGTTTCACTTTATAGTCATATTGGCTTTGTCAAGTTTACCTCACAGCACTGGGATGTTGTTGTTGCTTTCTGTACTCTCAGTACTGGTTCTTCAGTCTTCTACTGCCAACTCTTGCATGACAGTCAGCAAAAAGGACTATTTTTGGCAATTCGTTAATGAATTCTAATATTATTGGAAAACCTAAACTGATGCCAAGGAAGCTTGAGTTCTCTCAGGCTTTGTAAAACAAAATTGCTTCAATGGAAAAAAGAGTCTGACCAAAATTTAAAAAGAGAAAGTATTTACAACTAAATACTTTTTTACTTACCAAGTTAAAACTTTTACAGTCACTTCATAAGCCACTCGCTAGGACCTAGAGCTCACAGCAATTATAGCTCTGGAATTATTTTATATCTCAAGTCAAATACTTAAAGAAAAAGACTAGTATTTCAAGATTTTCTATCATGTTATCACCTTATTTAGTTACATTTCAAAACAGAAGAGCTTGCTATAAAGATAAAAAGCCTTCCTAGCATGAACTACAGTTTTTGTTTTTAAAGAATTGGCTAAGAACATCCAAGTCAAGAACAAAGAAAAGAAGAAAAATACACTTGTGCATGCAGCTGTGAGACAGATTTAGAAGCTTAATTGATTAACAGCAAATGATAGAGAGAAACATCACCTTTTGACAAATAAATAAATAGAAAAAAATATCACAATAGACTAGTATTTGAATCAAAAATATAGTCATCCATGTTTATGATTGTAACCAACTCTACCCTATTAATACCCACTCACATTACTGGGAATTTTGGAAAATTATTTTAAGATCAGACACTTCAAATATCCACAACTGGTTTAGCATGTCCTTGTATTGAGAAACCACAAATAACTTAAGTGTAAAACCAAAGAATGCTAAACAATACATAACATTAAAGGCATTTTAAATACAGTAAGACAGCAACAGTGTTAACAAAAAGTCACTTAAGCATCTGTAGAATCCTAATGACTTGAGTGAGACTACAAGTTCCAGTATTCTGATGGATGAAGTTGTCTCCTGTTTATTCAGGTACAAAAATAAACATCCCAACACTCTTCAATCGATTGAATAAATTAATAGATTTGAAAGAGATGCAGAATTCCTCCCTCCCATGGCTCTTATGGTGCCTTAGTGCTGGTAGAGCCCTACAGCTGCCTTTATGAAGCCACTATTTTTGCTGGTTTACTGGAATTAAGTTTAATGATGCCATACTTCTGCATCTAATTACATGCCTGAAGACAGCCCATCCACAGCAGGTCTCAGGTTACCATCCCAATCTCACACACTCAGGCACATGGTTAACTTTCCACTGTGAGTTTCAAGTTAAAACACGTGCAGCGTTCACTAAAGTCGGTCCAAAAGGACACCCTGTTTCTCTCTCTTAAACAAGTGGGGACTATCTTCCATGGATTTTAAAGGTTATAGCTCTTACCTCTCTACACATGTATTGTATTTTCCAAGCTTTTATTTACCTTCCAGTCATGATTACTACTTTATTTATCCTATGACACATGCCTCCTCCTCCACAGTTTCTTATCATTATTTGTTGCTTACTGTGACAAAGCATCTCTATTTCAATATTCTCCTAATTGATCTCCTGTTAGTGGCCTATAATTAATCATCACCATTTTTCTGTTTGTATGAAGTTTATCAGTGCAATAAAACAGAGGCCAACAGATGATGACTGCCTTGCTGTTTCTTTTGGTTAGCATTTTCCTTTCTTTAATATCACAGGCATTTTTTGGATAATAGTTCCTTTAAAAAATTCTAAGCATTTGGTACTGTCTGCACAGCAGTTGTAGGCAGCTTGAGCAGCTTTTCCATTAAAATTTATACACTGATTTTTGGCTCTCATTCTTAGAATAGGTCAAGTTAAACTTCTATACTACTACTTTCAGCACTTAATGACCAAAGTGTGTTACTACACATTAAAGTATCTGCACTAGAGACACTACATAAAAGAGAAGGCAGCTAAAACTCTAAGTACCTGTTAACTACTGTTCCTTCTTCCTTTTTGTTTTGGCTTTTTTTTTTTTTAGCATATCAAACACATCACAAGTTAGCTTATTTGGACAAGAGGTAAGGCGAAGATACATAAATTACAATCTGAAACAAAAACTACCACCAAAAGAAGATCTTGCTAAGTTTTGTATCCGCTGTATTTACTCTGATGTCAAACTGCAACTCTTGTATCTTTAGCTGGCTTGGTGGGTTTCCCAGGAGTCAGTATGAAAGCAAGGCCTACAACTGCACTCAAGAGGGGAAATTAGGAGAGATCCAGACTGATTCTGAAAGAAATGCTCCATTACAGAGTGGAAAAAGGCCTTAGCCATGAATATGAGAAGTCCTTATTTGTACGAGCTCTGTTGTCTGTCAACATATATTGCTATTCCTTGCTCTCAAGCACCTAAAGCTGACACTATCCTCAAACAGCCTTCTGTATATTAAAAAAATTTTGAAGGTCATGTTTAGACACAGGAAGTGCCTGTCATTTATTATTTTTTTACATGTAGAATTAAAAGTCTCCTTGCCTACTTTCCAAATTACAGATAAATACAAACCTCTCAAACACTGAGCACTTTGTGAGGTATTGTCATCTGAATGCAAATACCCCTCTGATCATACAAGAGAGGCCTCCAATTTCAACTTACTAACCTGAAACTGAGATTCTGAATAATCACAATCCATGACTGATCCAAAATTTAAGGGCCAAAGAGTGACATTAGGCAGACTGCACGAAAACTAAAAATCTGTACTAACAGAGAGATTAAGTGATCTATTTATTAAAACCTCGTACGTGTATTATGTACAATTATAGCTGACGACAGCTTTCTCATCTGCTGCCAATTTAACGCTACAGATGTGCAGCACAGGCCACAGGGGTTCAAAGTGGGCAAAGGCGGCTGCCATTCAAGTGCTGATAGAGCACGACCGGTGTCGCATCTCTTCCGATTCCCGACCTGCAAAACGAACACAACACCAACACTCCGTGAAAAGCATCACCAGAGGAGCAGCGGCGGCTGCGGAACGAGGCGGATGCTCTGCGGTGCCGGGCCCAGGCCACGGCCGCACCTGCCCGCGGGCCCCACGGCGGCCGGCCCGAGGGACGAGCCCAGAGCCGGCACCACGGCCGGAGCCCCCCTGCCCTGCCCGGCCCGGCTCACCTGCACGCCCGTGTAGTTCTCGAAGAAGAAGAGAACCATGCTCTGGTAGATGGTGTACAGCCGGTCATCCACCTCGCGGTAGAAGCGGGCGGGCAGCACGGCGGAGAGCAAGCGCCAGGCGCCCCAGGCCAGCATGTAGGTGGGCGCCGTGCCCATCATGACGGCGGCGGGCAGCACGTAGCGCATGGAGTAGGTGTGCAGCACCAGCGACAGCAGCATCTTCCCGCTGCCCCCGGCCTCACCGGGACACCCACATGGGCGGCGCGCTTACACACAGCCCCGCAGCCCCGCCGCCCGCATCGCCCGCCGCGCCGGGCACACCCGCCAGGCGCCCGCGAAGCAGCAGCGGCGGCGGCGACCGCGGCCGGGAGGGACGGGGAGAGAGCGCGGCGTGAGGGGCACCGGCTCACGGCTCCCGCAGCGCCGCTGCCGCCACCATCTTGCCCGGCGGAGGCGGAGCCGCGCCGCAGGAAGGCGGCCCCGGGCCCGGCGCTTCCGGGCGGGCGGGAGGGGCCGCGCTGGCGCTGGGCCGGGCCCGGGCCGGGCCCCACGAGCAGCCCCCGGTCTGGGGCACCGGCTCTATCCGCGTCCCCCGCCCCGTCCCGGCCGCATCCCCATCGCTCCCCATGTAGAACAGGCAGCAATGGGGGCGGGCTGCTCGGCTCCGTGCAAAACGAGACACACGTGTTTATGACTGATGAACTTAGTTTGTATTAATTATATCTTAGTATAGGTTAGAAGAAAACTTAGTCCTTTCCCCTGGCCGACCCCCGCCGCCTCCCCACCCTCGCACTTTCGGCCTGTGAGCCCAGAGTGGAGCAGTACAGCGCAGCTCTGCCTTTGCCAGCTCCAGGCAGCGATGCTCGGGTTTAGGAGGCATTTCACGTGCCCCGCACTGGCAGGCAGCTGCCGGCCTCGCCTCTCTTCTCGCACCCTCGGCCTCTGCCCCCCAGTACCCCGTTGGCAGCAGAAGCCAGAGGCACCATCTGCTTTTGAAGAAAATGCAAGAGATCTTGCTGAAAACACTCTAATAACCTTCCCAGAAGAAATTGCTTATTGAGCTCTAGTTTGTGGTGAAGTGTTTATTCCTTGTCTCTAAAAAATAAGTTCTATCCTGAAGCTTGTGGAACTCTCACTGTTTTGAAAGGAGTGGGTGCGCAATACATTCTGCTAAGATCTGCTTCCTTTGCCAGGTTTTAACTGGGACAAGCTTTGTCCTTTGCTGTTGTTGACCTCCTGCTAGCTGGTTTTTAGTGTGCATTGAAAATGGCATCCTTCAGTTCATTAGTCTTAGGTACAAAAAGACGTCTTTACCAGTTTTAAAATGTTTCATTTTTATTCCTTTGTATGCTTTTCACCATATTACAAAGATGGCCTGTATTTTCCTTCGTGTATTTTACATTACAAGTTTTCATTTTTTGTTACTGTTTGAATTTATTTTTTCCTTCCACTTTATGCTTTTTCAGCACTCTTAATCTTTTACCATGCCATACCACACACACATGCCCATGTTCACACAATTTTTTTCTACTTTTCTTAAATAGATATTTTCTACAGGATCTTTTAATGTATTTTCTCTCTTTGTGAAGTATATATTATCTGACATATAGATACCATCTTAGTTACATAAAAGGTACAGAGTCCACGTACTTGGGCTTAGGGCTTGATTTACTAGTGTAATTATATCAGTATGATGTTGCAATGTAGGGTTGTAATTCAGTCTGCAACTGAATGAAACTCAAACTTTTCCATTCAAAAAACAAATATACCATGTGATGAGATCTGGGACGCTGCCACCAAGTCCTTGCTTTTCTTGATTCACAGTTGCTTTTTATTGCAGATCCCTCTGAATTGTGCCATGGGAATTTCAATACCAGTCTTTCACCTTATAGATGTCAGAGGAAAATAAGAAGAATGTTATGATATTTGCTATAATTTGTCATTTCTAGTCCTATGAAAGCATAGGCCCCAATTACACCTCCTCTGACCAAAATGCTCTCTGAGCATTTTACTTTCAGGTGGAACAAGAAAAATCACCCAATTTAGGGCAATTAGTACTCCCCAGTTCAGATATTAAGACTTCAAACCTGTTTTTATTTACTTTGATATAACAAACTTGATATTTAAAAGAATAAACAATGTTTCCCCTCTGAAATTGTGGGGGAAAAGCATTAGTGAGCCATCTATAAGGTGCTCAGTCTATTTTTTGTGAACATAATTATTTGGTATGAACCTGATTATTCCAGTGTCAGGTTGTTCTGCTGGTGGTTGCCACACCTAAAGTGGCCAAGCTCACCAAGCTCTGGGAAAAAACCCAAATGTTAATCTGATAGTGAAAAATATCTGTAACTGCCTCTAGAAGGAACCACAAACTGTGTCGATAAGTGCCAGCTCTGAACGTTAAGGGAGTTTCCCCTTTTGCTACTCACAAAACCATGTTTCACAATTCCATCACCTACTCACTGCAATTGTCAACAGACTAGGCAAAGCCAGATAACATCAGATACAAATCAGTCTCCCTTGAGCTTTAAAATTTAAACCTTTACAGATGGTCTTATCTTCAATATCCTGGAAGATGATGTACTGGTGTCAGTTCTGTTGTTAAATGAGATAATGTTGATAAAAGAGACACAGACATTAAGGCCAAAGATCTAGATCCAAATAATTCCTGAATTCCTAGAGTCAAAGACATAGCAAGCTTAGGCTTGCTATGAAGTGCATGTCATGTGGGGAGCTAAGCAGTGCATAATAGGATCCATGGCCATCATCAGGCTGTGCAGAAAGTTGATTGCGGTTGGCAGACTCAATATGTGTTTGTGTAGGGTCAGGTAAACCCAAACACTGAGCACAGTGGCCTGAGTATGGTCTTACAAGTTCTCATTCTGTGTTTCAGAAGCGCAGGTGTCCACTTGAGACATACAATGTGTTACAAAGTTTGGTAACACACTTTTTAAAATGTGGCAAGAGAAGATACAAATAGACTTCAAGGGACTGGATTAGACGTGGGTTCAGTTTGTTGAGAGTATCAAACTCATACCTCACATCAGTGAGGTGGGTGCCCTGCAGGGTAAGAGTGATGAACATCTCTCATGTTGAAGGTGCATTTTTGTAGTAATTGCTTAATGTAACATAAAAAAATAATTCGCCAAGATTACAATTAGACTGGTTTAGACAAGTAGACTTGTTTAGATTACAGGTCCTCTAGATGTGTGCCTTTTTCTAACAGTGGCCATGACCTCCTGCATCTGTCTGCATCTGCTCATGGAAATGAAGGCTTCCTTGAATCCTGCAATCCTCTCCAACCACTGGTGAGAAATGTAGTAGTTCCTCTCCATCCCTGACTCTGTCCTTGCAGGGGTCCTTTTGGTTCCTCTGCCCCACTGGACGCCCTGGCTCCCCTCACACAGAACATAAGGCTGCACAATATCTGACTGGTCCCCCTCAACAACGTGTCTACATGCCTGTGTTCCACTTGCTCCAATCCTTACCTTCAGGTCCTGCCCAGAAGGGATGTCTCTTACCACCAGAAAAGGAGGAATCACACTGGACCAGCTAGTATTCTGAGCTAGTTCTTGAGGATGTTTTCTGGGTGGCGCTGGGCATGGATGTGTTTATGGTGGGATTTACACAGTCTTATGCTTGCAGTGATAGGGAAACAAGTTCAGCTTTACACTAATTGAGGCAGGTTTCAGCTCTTCCTGTCTCCCAGGAGATTCCTTCTTGTAGATTTGGTTATACTTTTTGTCTCTACAAATAGTAAGAATGGCAGATACAGACAAAGTAAGGATGTGGCAATCTTCTTCCAAGCTCTCCCAGCCTTCTCCAAATCCCCTTTTGTGGTTCAGGGTCTGGAGCCAGGTCTAATTCACCAACAGATATATTCTACGTATGTCTACCCATTTTTCCCTTTACCTGTGTTGGCTTTTAGCCACACTGCAGTCTGTGTGACAAGCAGTAGAATCTCCTTTTGTTTTGAACCTGCCTTATCATAATTTCATTTTATGTACCTTAGAACTTGTATTGAAAGACACAGAAACCCCCTTTCCACTCTTTTTTCAAAGAGATGATTCCACTCACGATTTTTAAAGACCTCTGTAACACCCCCTTTAGGTGACCTGTTTTCTTCATGAGAGATATTATGTTCACTCATAAGATTTATCCATAAAAATTACTTGCAGAATCTCTGATATGTGTCTAGTATAATATGTCACCATTTAATAAACCAAACTAGTAAATGAGGAGAAGCACATTTTTTCCGATGGTTATAAAACACATCAGCTGACACCAGAGATATGGTGACTTTCAAGAATGCAGATTGTGGAGGAAACAGTTTTAAGGAGTGCACACTCTTTTGCATCAAGCTGCATCACTATCATCTTTCATCTGCCTCTAGGCCTCTGTTTCCAGTCTTCAACCATCAAACTCTCAGTCTCCCTTCCGAAATACATCCTCTGGCTCTCAGTTCTTCTCTACATATTTTTTTCCAATCTCCTTCCCAGGCAAGCCTAGCTAATTCTACTCCCATGACTCTGTGCATCCCATTCACATTTCTCACACAATGTCCATCTCTTTTTTTTCCTAGTGAATCCTGGTTTGCTCTTAATTTCCCCTGAGAGCTCCTAATCCTGTTATCCACTCTTCTTTATGTCAAATTCTCTTTGCCAGAGCAATTCTAATTTTTACTTCCTGCCTACTTGGTCACAGTCCAGTCTTTCCTCAACAATTCTCAGCCACAACTTCATCCTAAACCAGCAGTTCTGGCTTGGCCTTTCCCCCCTCATTTGGTCAAGCTCTCAGTCCCTTTCTGTGCAACTTGGGTGGCCTCTGCCCCTGTGGCACTTGTGTGCAGGCAGAGACAGCACTGAGACAATGCCAAAATAAGGTATTGTGGCCCCCCCTCTGGTCCTTGGATGGCCTGAAAGGGCCAAAGCGTGCTGTGTCTCAGGAAGGACAGCATCCATAGAGCCTGTTCTGTGAGCCGGGATTTGTGCATTTTAGCTGGTAAACTTGGGTTCTGCATTAAGCAGTTACAAACCGATTTATCAGAGGTTTGTGGCTTGCCAAATTTGAGCCAATTTTCACAGTAGGAGGAGGAGTTCTGCCCATAGCTCAAATGCTACTCATGACCTTATCAAACAAATCTCTGCTATAAGGCCAAAGGTAGTAAAAATTAAAAGGATTTCAAGTGGCATAGCAGAATTGCAGATTTTCTATAGCTATATTCCCTAAAATAATGCAGTTTAGGAAATTTCAACCCTCAATTTTAAAATAAGCAGGGACAATACAACAAAGACAAGCTCTTCGAAATTTGAAATTAAAA